GCTGAAAAAAGGATAAAAAGTAATCGGATCATGAGAGAGACAAGAAAATAAAAGAACAAAGAGCATTAAATGAGCTCACCTAAGAACATGCTAGCAACAACTGGAGTACCTGAGAGAGTACTTGGTTTGCGAGGCTTCTTGGGGACAGGCAGGCCAGATGAAGACCCATCCGTTCGCCCCCTCTTCGGGACACTGCGAGGACCGCGAGGGACTAGACGAGGAACATATTCTTCATATACATCAACAAATCCGGAAGAAACCCCAGGAAGGGCGGCAGAGGTTTGGGACTTACTAATTGCAGAAGTTCCTGCAAGTCTATCTCCAGTCTCCGCCGCGGCAAGGAAAGCGTCAGGAGAGACCGGGTCGACAAAGTTCCGCCCAAACTCCTGCGAAAAAGGATAAAACACCGAGACAAAGAAAAGCTAAGCAAGAACAAACGCAGCTAGAGTGCATAAAGTACTCAAACAAAAAGATAGACAACTCACAGCTGGGGGCGGGTTGTTGGCGGAGAACTCGGTGACAGCAGGGGGAATGACGCTCACCCCTTTCAGCATCTTCTGAAGACGCTCGAGTACCTCCTCACCGGTCAGCTCAAGAGCTGGGACCATGCGTGAAGGATCCTCGGCCCCAGAATACTCAAAGCCAAGATGCTCCCGCTCTTTCAAAGGCTAATCCCGGCGACGAAGAAAGCTCGAGACAATACCAAAGCCGGTCAAACCCTGCTGCTTCAGCATGCTAATCCTATCAAGAAGTGGCTGGATCACTTGAATCTCAGCAGGCGATTCAAGTTTCTTATCCCATCGGTCATTCGCCACAGGACCAGATCCGGGATGAATGGCAAGGGAAGGGATTAAATTGGCAGCGTAAAACCACTCGGCACGCCAATCTTTTATAGAATCGACCAGGTCATAGTCAAAAAACTTAATTTTGAGACCCTGACGAAACAAAATCCCACAACCGCCAAGAACGCTGGTTTCTTCATGGCGGGGTTGAGGTTTCAGACGAAAGAAAAAGCGAAAAAGAGACAGAGAAGGAGGGATTCCAAGGAAAGCTTCGCAAAGATGAACGAAAACAGAAAGATGGAGAATGGCATTGGGGGTTAGGTGGTTCAGACTAATCCCGAAATAACCAAGAAACTGATGAAGGAAAGCGGAAGCAGGAAGGCAAAGTCCGGCGCGGACAAAAGAAACGAAAAGGACGATCTCACCAGGACCCGGAGCTGGAACCCGATGCTTGCCCGGAACCCTCCATTCAGCGATGACTTTGCTTTGGATCAAGCCATCACTAACGAGCTCGCGCAGCTGGTCTTCGTTTGTTGTTGGGGCCGGCCAAACCTTCTGAGCAGCCCTCATAGCCACGAACTCCTGATTTTCGATCAAAGAAAGGGATGACTCCTCGTCTACGAAGGTCGCCTGAGACTTGCTTGCGGTTTTCTTCTTTCCCATGAACTGGCGGAAGCAAGAGAGGCGCTAAAGGAGATGTAGGATGATGATGCTCGGGTTACGGCGACGGCGACGGCGGCGGATTTCTGAAAGCTAGGGTTTAAAGGCAAGAGTTGGGCAGCAAAGGGTCTTTAAATAGGTTTCTCAGCGATACAAACGGCCCACAAGGCCCGATAAAACACAATGTGGGAACGCGACGGTCCATTTACCGATGCAGCTAAAACAATGGAGGGCGCAAATCCACACAACAGTACAAACCAACGGGCAGATTTCAGACTTATCCGTCCAGCACCACGGCAAGGTTATCAGATCGCTACAAGAACAACTCGTCAAAATAAGAAGAAAGAAAGAAGAAAGAAAAGACTACCTCACAAAGAGCAAAAGAACCCAGTCATTTAAGAAAGAACCCGGTAATCTCATGGACAACGGGGATCGCAACAGAAAAGTAAAAGACAACTCAGAAGACAAGATTCGTTACATTGCAAGCAGAAGATTACAAATCTTAAAGACAAGATTCGTTACATTACAAGCGACTTCAAAAATAGAAGATTACAAATCTTACAAGACCCAACGAACTCGGCACTACGAAAAGCAAGGTAGCAAAGAGGAACGCGGACACGGCTAGGCTCTGGAACGACTACGTGTCCCAAATTGCTACTCGGAAGGACAAACCGCCATCAGCTACACTGTTTTCTTCAAAGGAAGGACGCAGTGCACTCAAGGCGGAAATCGGCAGCACGGCAGGACAACTTGGAGCAGAGAAGGCAGGCGGGCATCTGTCTACCCAAGACCGATGTGATACTGCATATGGTGTTGATCTGCATCGGACAGTCTCAAGACAGGCGACGAGGATCAACCCAGAACTGCCAGATGAAGAAACGAAGCCCACATCACAAGACTTCCTCCAACTACCACCACATACATCCTGGCACAATGCTGTCGCGGGATTAGCCTACCTCTAATCCCTATCACAAGACTTCCTCCAGCTACGACAAGACACACAGGAACTACAAAATATGCCCGGGGGCTGCTCTACTTCACAAACTACCATGTTCATGACCACGAAGGTTTCAACAGGAATATACAATAGATGAAAACAAGCACTCCGGGACAGTATTTATAGACCAAAGGAGCGGCGCACATGGACTAGGAGTACCAACGAAATAAGCCTAACAAAGGACACAGTGAAAGGACAGGACTCAATAATGGATGACCCAGGCGAGAGGAAACAGTACTCGAAGACGGGCATATTCGGAAGAATATACCAGCACAGTACAACCCGTGAACAAAAGGCATTTACATTCAACCACCACCATATAACTACATCTGACAGCAGTAGACTATCAGAGAATACGCCAAGACCTCGCATCCGAGTTCTTCCTGAACAAAACAACACGGATATACGCTCGGGGGCTCGGCCAGCATCATAGCTTAATCAACACTAAGCTAGAGAGTTCGGCCTTCATTTCAGCTACTCCCCGGGGCTAAGAACCAAAGACAAAAGACAAAAAGTACAAGAAACTCAAGACTACAACGACGACGACGCATCAGGACTTTTTCAATCGACTTCTTTTTCAAAAGAAAAGAACTCGGAGAAGGCACGAGGCTGCGGGATACATAGCCCCAGAATTTTTTGAAGACAGGAATCTGGACCCTCCAACTTTTGCAAGCAAAAGCAAGAGGCTCGGAGGCTACACTCAGTGGGTGCAATTTTTATGAAAAATTGCACCCACCAAAAAGAACTCGGACGTAGGCTCGGAGGCTGCACACCGCGAAACTACTCGGATGATGGTTTAATCCAAGACTAAAGGACCGCCTCGGAAAGATACCACAGAAACTACTCGGATGGTGGTTTAATCCAGGACTAAAGGACCGCTTCGGAAAGATACCACAAAAACTACTCGGATGATGACATAATTCAAGTCTCGGGGACTACTTCAGAACCCTCCAACTTTTTGTTCCAAATAGCAAGAGGCTCGGGGGCTACACTCAGTGAGTGCACTTTTTCTTCGAAAAAGCGCATGTCACCAAAAGACTTACTCAACGCAGACAACTTCAAGACATTGCGACAAAAAGAACCCGGAACGATCCATATTCGAGTTCTTTTTTCCAAAACTTCAACGAACAATCAGAGCAACTTCAAGACAAGATCCTCCAGCTCCTTGTTCCAAATAGCAAGAGGCTCGGGGGCTACAACCAGATGGATGTACTTTTTCTTCACAAAACACTCACCACTCGAAGATCCCAAGAAGCGCTACAAGGTCTCACTCCAGAAAGCACTCGGATAACATTTTGTTCCTACCTAACAATACTTGAAGGAGCAAAGCGAGACTTTCAGAGCTCAATCATGAAGTGCTTGGGGGCTTGTCGATGCGGGACCCACAGGATACCCCGCAAGAGAGAGAGAAGATCTAGTTCAACTAGGATTCTTCCCATGTAATCTTAGTAATAGAACTATTAAGTAATCCTACTAGGAAATCTCATTGTAAACCGATTAGGACCCTGGCCTCCTGACTATATAAAGGAGGGCAGGGCTCCTGAAAGAGGACAATGGTACAACATAACACTTCATAATTAATCCAACGAAAAAGAAAAACACCGACTGGACGTAGGGTCGTTACTCGATCTACGATCGAGGGCCTGAACCAGGATAAATCGATTGTCTCTTGCGTTCACCATCGAGTTCAGCATACGCCGAAGCCCGAACTATACTGCCACGGTACCCCTGTGGCAGGCTATCGGTGGTAAAACATCGACAGGGCCACCGCCGCCAAAGACCCAAGCTGGGTTCTGCTGGACTCCGGTAACTGCCGCAGGGTCGTCCGAGACGACGACTCCATGGCTGCCGACAACAAAATCCTGGCGGAGTCCCGCACCTCCACGGGGCAGCACCACTTGCACGTTTCGTTCCACCTTGCGGCGCCGCCAGCGATCTCCTTCCTCTGCTACGATTACGAGGGTACCGTGCCCAATAAAGAGAACATCCTTGAACTTGCTGTCATCGCAGCCCACGGCGACTCCATCCTCTTGCGAATGACGCGGGGGCGGCGTGACGGCCGCTGTATGCCGCCCACGTTCGACCATTTGTGTACAGGGCAGGCACCGGCACGAGGCCGCCGTCGCTGACTCTACTCCCGGGCCTAAACTTTCCCAGGAAGTACGGCCGCCCCCGCTTCCTGCTGGACGAGGACACTGGCGTCCTGCGACGAGGAGAGGACGACCTCCTGGTGGCTCAGCTTGACACCGGGCAGCATGACGACCGACCGGACCTGGCCAACCTCTGTGTTCTTCGTCTCGGGAGGAGCGAGTGGGAGCTCAAGCGTGCAGTGCCCATCGTTCATGATGGGATCGTTGACAGGCCCCGACATGACCATCCCTGTGGGTGACCAGTTCGGCGGTTCCTGTGCTGGGTCAGCTACGACTACGACATAGGCCTCGTCGTGTGCGACATGGCGGAAGAGGCGAGCCCCAAGCTGCGCGCGGCACGTACGTCTACCTGTGTACTTCGATCCAAGCTATTACGCCAATGACCTACCTCCCCTGAGTGATTCCAAGGGCATGGGAGCTGCTGGCCCTGGTGCTGTGAGGTTCGTCGCCATCGAGCCCCGCTGCTGCTGCGGTCGCCTTGGGAGGAGCTCGTGCGCACGCTCCCGCTTTGCCTTCACGCTGACCACGTGGACACTGACCCTGACGATGGACGAGCCAATGGCGTGGGCAAAGGACGGCGTGCTCGACTGCGAGGAGCCCTGGGCGACGCCGGGATATGAGGGCCTGCCGCGCGTGCACCTGCAGTCCCCCGTCGTGAGCATAGACAACCCCGACGTCGTCTTCTGCAAGGTTGTCACCGGCCGCCGCGCGGACCAAAATGCATGGATGATCCAGGTTGACGTGAGGAGGCAGGCGCAGCTGGCAGCCGTGCAGTGGACCTCCACCGACCCATGGAGAAGACACCTTCATTTACCGGCAAAAATTTAGTGATTTACTGGCAAAACTTGAAAAGGAACCGGGAATACAAGACATGTTTGGTGTAGTAGGCACTGCCATGCATTTGCTTTTGGAATATTAGCATCTTGTTATTGCCAGAGGTTTATTCCATGGCAAGTGGTTACTCTTTGTCGAATTGAATTCTCTTTCATGTTTAGGCTGAAAAAATCTAGTCTCTCCGATGGGACATTGTCAAATTATTTTCTTTTGACCAAAACATTGTCAAATTATTGCCGACATTGTCTAAAATTATGGATGCCAAAGTCATCATAAAATAAATTATAGTTCTTAAGTTTCATATAATGGGGAAAAAATAAATAGACGTGTAGCATCTCAGGTGTATGGAACTTACATTATAATGGGGAAAATATAAATAGACTTTGGTGGGTTCACTTGCTAGTAAAAGACTAAAGAATAAGATTTCACTTAAACTCAAAGTTTTGCTTTGGCTAGCATAGACTTCGAACAGGGGTCGTCACTTTAAAGAAAAGTGGAAGGAGAGTATATATGATCTGTATCCGGTGTAGCAAGACAAACAGTGGATCATATCTATATCTATACTATAAAAGAGCGAAGGAATTAAAAAATACCTCTTACCTAAAGTTTCATATCCACCTTATTCGAGGACCCTCGGATGATTTATATCTTTAAATCTAACCGGCAGATGTTAATCTAATAGTGGGCCATGTATGTAAAAAAGGTCTTGCAGTCACGTCTTACGCGTTCCTGCCACGTAAAACCACTCCGTCGCCCTCCCTCACCATGTTTTTTGTTACCAAATATTTCTCCAACCTGCTCGCCATACCCACGTCGCCCCTCTGAGTCCCGACCACCCAGAATTGCTTTTCACGGTTGTCCTATATTAAAGAATCAATAACAAAATTGGATTTTCCCTCACGTAATCCTCCTCTTCCTGTAGTCCTAAAATAAAACCTCACGTATACCGGACCTCGGTACGGACTCACGTACGCGCAGCAGGAAGATCAGGAAGTCCACCACCTCCTTCCGGGCCTCCGCATACAGCACGTGCCGTGAACGCGGCCGGCGGCCGGCGCCACCTTCACATCTGTAGCTGTTGACCTGCCGTCGTGGACACCTTCAGCTCTCTGCCTGACACATCAGAAGATTAGAGCTTCATCTGCGGGTCCCCAGCGGCCGGCGCCGCCTTCACGCCTGTAGCTGCCGACCTGCCGTCGTGGACACCTTCAGCTCTCTGCCTAATACATCAGAAGATTGATTAATGCAGGTATACAATTATTTATTTTTGTGTTGATATGAACTAATAAAGATTGATTACGGTCTAATAAAGATTGATTAATATAATATGCGATGCATGTTTATAAAAATTATTCTGACCTCTCTTTCAACTACATGTTTCTAAAAAGTAATCTACTCTTTTCCAACTTGCATGTTGCAACTAAACTGACCTCTCTTTCAACCGTCTGTTTCTAAAAAGTAATCTATTTTCCGACTTGCAAGTTGCAACTAAACCTCAATTGCTTAAAATTTTGTCGCTTGACTCTATAACATATTTCCAGTTTATGCATTTAACTTTAATTTTTTGTTTCACCATTGCTTTAAAATTCCTTGATTGCAGTGCTCCATATTAACAATATAAACAAGACAACCTAAACCTTGTTATGGCTTCGACCACAAGACAAGATGGTAATCTGACCACAACATCAGATGGCAATGTTCAAGGTGGTATGTTATTTGGTTTTTAAAAAACAGTCTGTTTGGATTATTTATTTCAAAATCAATTAACCTTTTTCGAATATTTGTTAGAGGATGAAGTCGGCTTGGAGAATAGAAATTCATTAAGATGTAAAAGGAAACGTGAAGCACAAGCTACTGATGTAATGTCTTGTGATAAAGATGTTGAAAGACAGGCTAGAAACCGAGAATATCAGCGTAACTATCGTGCACAGTTACGGGGTAAGGCTGATGGCAACCAAAAAGAACACCCTGATCCTGGTGTGATAATAGCGAAGCAACCAGGTTCGATTAAAAATAATGTTACTACAAAAAAAATGACAAGTTAGATTTAGGTGATGACTTCTGAAGTAAAATATTGCAGTACACACCTTTGGTTTTCAGATTTTTTTTTCACCTTTTCGGGGTCGCCAATGGGAGCTTCCTTTGATACCATAGCATCCTTTGACAACAAATGTGGTTGCTCTGGTTCAACATAACATCTTGCTTCAGTATTGAAAAATACTAACCATGGCAAAAACATTAAACAAAACAAAGAAATTTACATTACAACCTGGATCTGTTTTATGTGATTTCCCCTTATGCTTTCCAGCAGGAGAAGTCTCGTTTGCCTCATCTTTTAAATCGGAGTCCTTCACTTGCATTGCACTGCTCACAAGCAAATAAAACAAATGACAGTCAGATCCACAATCTACTGAGTTTCAGCAGCAGCAAACTGTTAGGAGAGGAGCCTCACTATTCTCCTTCTTTTGCAAACGTTCCTTCAGTGGAGCACTGATTCATTTCTAGCTTAACTCTGATTTTCCTACCAGGAACAGGAAATCCATTCTTTTGTTGAATAGCTCGATCAGCATCTTTAACAGTTGCACTGGTATATACGGGAACACATTACATTATCATTGCTATTTTCTGCAGTCAGGATGACAAGTAGTCAATCAGTAATTGGACTGAACTACATTATCATTGCTATTTTCTGCAGTAATGAGATGTTCAGAGTGTTCACTCAGATCCTGCTATGATAGCTTCTTCCATTTTTTTGAAAATTGTAGATCCACCACTACAATTCTTATTTTAGAAAGCTAATTTGCTTACGAAGTTTGGAAAGGAAAAGCATTTTTTTACAGATATTTCAGAAGCCCTTCTATATTTGCTGGAACTGAATGGTCTCTTATGATATTTAGTGTACCAACTATTGCTTAATGCTATTGTGTCATCTAAACTCAGATAACTACAATAGTATTTTTATTCAACGGCACTACAAAAGTATTTTGCAAGCACTAAAAAAGAATACCTACAACATATTGGTGGTGGACTACAATTTTCAACTTTGAAGAACGATGCAAATGATAACTAAAAATATATAAGTACTAGAGTTTGGATGCTAATCATCTAAGTAAAAAAGGAAAGTATAATGCAGTATGCCAACTGTCAGCGTGAGATACTAAATCTTTTCTCATCCCTGGTCCCGATGTAGATGATGATGAGGAAGATTACGACAGTCAATGAGTCTGAGCGACTGAACTTACCACGAAATAGAGCGCGGCAAGGAGACGCGAGCTGCTGGAGCCACCACTGGACTCGCCGAGTAGGAGCCGAAGGCGCCCTTGTCGCCTCGCAGCCAAGAAGGAGGGCCTGCTCTGGCGGCCTCCGGACGGCGCGACCAGCAACGGCAACTGACCCGGCGGTGCGGCCCTGCCCCGGCGGCCAGCAGGCATCGCGGCCAGACCCGGCGCAGCCCTGCCCCGGCGTCCGGCGGGCGGATCTACCAGCTCCGGCAGCCAGCCCCAGCGGAGGTGCTCTGCCCGGCACAACTTCTTCCCCGGCGGCCAGCCCCGACGGCGGTGCTCTGCACGGCTCGCATTCTTCCCCGACATCTACGGCAAGCTGACCTGCTCGCTGCTACCAGCGGGTCTGTGGGCTTTTGGTCCAATTAGAATTAGAAAATAGAATATAAATATATACATGTACAAAGTTGCTAAAAAACTAACAAGGGATTTAAAATTATGAAAGTAAAAAAAGAAATAGAATTCATCAAAACAAAAATAAATTGGATACAAATACAAATGCTTCACAAACAAATCCCATATATTGAAACGAAAAATCAAAAAATAAATGAATTTATATACAACAAAATTTGCAGATACAAGTATGAAAAAATGTTGGTTTCAAATAAACATAGAAATACTAGGATAAGATGATAACGACAAGCAAGCTAAAAAATAGCAAATAAAAAATACAAATGTCTTATAAGAACGTGCATGTCGCACTGCATGTTAACTAGTCCTCTTTAAATGCATATTATCTCGTTTTGTTTGGCAGATCTTTAGAAAGACCTTAGGGGCATCCCCGCGGGTATCCTGGCCTGATCCGTGGGTGGAGAGAGACCCGTGCAGCTGCTCCCCTCCGTGATCCACGAGCCCATTTGGATACCCCACGGGCCAAAATAGACGCGTGCCTTTTCGGCCCTATCCTCTTCGATGCACGGGGAAGAAAAAAACGTGTCCGCACTCGTGTTTCTCTATCCCGTCCCCCGTCGCTCTTCTCTCTTACAAGCGTGTCGTGCCATCGCCTGCTCGCCCTCACCTCGCAGAGGTAAGCCATGGCGTCTAGGGTTTGTGCGCCTCCCATCTCCTACTCGTGCATCTCCCATCTCCGCTCCCTTCGTCTCCTGGCCATCCGTTCTTGATTTCTAATCTGTCTTCCTCGCAGAGCACGGCCATGGGGGCTAGGGTTTAAGTGCCGCCCATCGCTGCTCCCGTCGCCACCCGTCGCCGCACGGCCAAGTGCCACCCTCGTCGCGTCACTGCCTGCACTTGCTATATCCACGACATCCGCCCCTTGCGTGGTCTTCTAGCAGGTTGGACGCCTGCTGCTCTTGTTCTGTTTCTCGTTAGATCTATGGGTGTTTATGAATTGTGTGGTGCTTCTTGCCATATCTGGTGTTTTTCTTCTTCTATATGTTTCCTTAGTTCTGTCGTGGAGATCGTGCAATTTGACCCCGAATCATAAGTTGCGAGTACCCCCATTTGTATGAGATTTTCTTTTTTAGCGGAACAGTAGGTTAATGGCTTTGAATGCATAGGTTAAAACATCATGAGTAGCTGCTCATACAAATGCTGACAGAAATTTTGTCTGCAGTGCTTCTGCGGCTGCTGACAGTAGCCTGCATCAAGGCTGTATGAACCTCTATAGTATTTATGCTTATGTGTACAATTACTAGATGTCTATGTCAATCTTCTTAACCATCAACTGTATGAAGATAATTTTCATCATTATTCCAACCTTCTGTGATGACAAATTGTTTGTTAATGCAGGTTTGAGTGTGCAGCGCTCATGTGAAGAGGCACCATCAAGATGAAGTACCATCATCAAATGTGCTAAGAGATCAGATTGTCATGATGTTTTTATGTATATTTCTTGCTTGAACCGGATGTAGCTACATGTCTTGCCTTACTTCCATCACTACGGGAAACTCGAATATTTCTGTGTGTGCAAAAACCCATAGAAAAATTCGAATACTAACAGAAAAAAAATTCTGACGGTGTACCGTCAGAAAATAACCCACAGAAAAAGAATGACAGAAAAATCGATTTTTTCTGTCGGTTCGCCATCAGAAACAATTTTTCTGTCGGTCTTACACGCACAGAAAAATTGTGTTCGGGCAGATTAAAAATAAAATTTCTGTGCATTATTCCTCACAGAAAAAAAGGAAAAGCCGACAGAAATTGTCATGTCAGAGTTGCAGAGCTACACTCATAGGAAAAAAATTTATTTTTCTCAGCAAATTGGATACAATAATTATTTAGAAACAGTAGCAACAGCATATTAAAATATGGACTGTCTATACAGTAATTTCATCATAACATATAAAGATAGAGTCCAAATATTCAGCACATTCATTCATAGCATCCAAGCTACATGTAGATAATGTCCAAATGTTCCGGCATCAATATATTCAAAAGCATTACCATCTCATCTCAGCAGTTCATGAATTTGACTACTGATAACTACTGCACTACTATGCTGACAACCAGATAGATGTTGCTACCATTGAAAATGAGCAGCTCTTAGCTCTTTCATTGCTGCTCCTATCGACCTGCAAATAAAGCATAGTAAGCAAGATAATATTAACTTGGCATACATCAGGTAGTAAGCACAACTTTGTTCCAGATAATAACTTGGTAGCTAACTTCCAGATGTCAAACTGCAAACCTTCCTAAATTCCTAAGGTAGAAAGCAAAAAATTGGACTCCTGACTACATAGACAAACACACAGAATGTTCCACAAAATCTTAGGAACGTTCACCTAATTACAAAATCGTTGCTCCTTACTACATATGTTCCACAAATTCTGAATAAAGGGTACTGAACACAGATTTAATTTTCTTTGTGTTGCGTATACTACTGAACACAGTTTAATTTTCAATAAATACTAAGTGCTGACATCAAGGCCCATCTGTTATTCTAAATAACATCACACTATGCAGAGTTGCAGACGGGTGCTGAATGATAGAGCTAACTGACATTCAGGCAATGGGAAATATCATAGCAAGAAGCATAAATTATTTAATCACTGATTTTCTCTGCACCGATTCTTTAATCACAGCAAGAAGCACATACATACTACAATTATAAAATCTCACGGATCTCCCTTGCTTGTATGCACATCCAGTTTGCTTGAACAACTACTAGAAAAAGAGGCACAACTTGACATTTGGGCAGCTATTTACAACTGCATACAACTCTGTTTCGCACAACAAGAATGGGGGAGAATGGGATGCACATACCTGATGGGAGCTCGTCACCGGCAAAGGGCCTGATGGAGGAGGCGGCATGGAGAAGAAGGGCTGCCATGTCGTGGATCTGGCCAGAGCTCATTGTGCTGCACATACCTGATGCACATACAAGGTTACAAGATGTGAACGACCTGAGCTACTAATTTCCAAATAAGGCAATCTGAATGAAAAAATAAACACCAAGGAAATTTCTAAACTCTACTTATCAACTACTTCACTATTAAGTATGCTACTAATCCATTGATCAACCATGTCCAGAAAGACATAATTTAAAACATGATAGCTGTAAACCTGAGCCATATCATACTGCTTGTAGCCTTGTACCATTGCAGAGAAATACCAATGATTGCAAACGGCTTACCTGTTTGGCTTTATGTCATTGTTGACCTGATTATCCAGTGTCCAGCCCGTCTTTCTTATCATCTTCCATCTCACTATCTCTTCATTGTCCCTACAGATGCAGAGAATGAGACTACTGTGTTGCATATAAACCATAGAATGTTCCACCAAATATGACATGAAGTGATCACAAAGGAGAAGGAATATGAAATTCATGAAAATATGTAGGCAATGCTGAATCCATGAATCTATTCTGTGACGACACATTCAGTAAAAAAAATAAGTGCTAAAAATAGTTGACTTAACCACATTGATGCACAAACTCATGAGGTTTCCTTCTGTTAAGCAGCAGTTCCCAATCAATCAAACTACTAGTGTCTTTAGGATAGACTCACAGTGTTGAGGAGGCCTGGAGCTTTTTTCCCTCCCCGAATGAACTAATGAATGTGCTATGATGCCAATATTTTCCATACCCAATGAACTCCTAGCTTAGTTGTAGGATCAAATTTGCCTAATAATTAATTCAGAAGGGAGGAGTGGAAGGCCATGCAGATCTAGTAGCAGTACCTGAGCAAAAAAAATAGAATACATTGACTTGTACCTCGCTCGTCGCCTCCATGCCATGGACCTGTGCAGAGAAGACACGATGCCATGAGAGAGGGGTAGTGGGAGGAAGGGGATCGGAGCTTGCCTTGCTAGATGTTGGGGATGTTGTGGTAGCGGCATCCGCGGCTCGTCGACCTCGACGTCAACAATCCCCAGGGGAGGAGCAGGGTCGCGCAGCAGCGATAGGCACCGCTGGGAGCTTGGGGCCGCGCATGCCGCCGGGGGCTAGGGGAGTCATGCACGATGACAGGGGGTAGGGGGCTCGAGATCCGCCTCTTCCGCCATCTCCTCCTGGAGCAGCCTCTGGATCTCGCCGTGGGCAGGCCCGTGCTCCGGATCTGGTGGCGGGAAAAGGGGGCGGCACGGACAACGTCATAGCCTGGCCAGGGGGTGGCCAGCCCAGTCAGGGCCTCTGCAGCAGAATGGGTAGCAGCGGCCGTGTGGCGTGCAGCTACGGCCTGCCCGGCAGCCCGGCGGTGCGCCCATCCATCCCCGGCCATCGGTGGCGTCGGCTGGCATGGCTAGCGAAGCCGGCTAGGGCATGGCAGCCTGCCTAGTGCGAGGGCGCGCGATGCGGGGAGGAAGAGGAAGGGGCGCCGGTGCCGCACGAGGAGAAGCTGGGAGTAGGGGAGGTCGCCATGGGAGGAGCAGCAGGGAGCGGCGTCGGCGTCGAGAGAGAGAGGGATCCCGCGAGAGCGAAGACTGAGACTCTGAGAGAGACCATGGGGTATGCACTGTGGTCAAGAGAAACTAGGGTTTGGGAGGGAAACAATGTTCTTAACCATCGGATCGAGAGATGGACGGCTGGTATCAACCGAAGTTGTAGCTGGGCCTATGGGAGGTATTGGGCCTATCTCTCATTTTGGGCTAGAACGGAGTCTCCTTTGCCCAAGACTATTTTTCTTTTTTTTCTTCTTTTTTTGTTGGTAGAAATGTATTAAATTCTAAGATATCAAAAATGATTTTAAGTGAAA